AAAAAAATAGCTGTACATCTACAAAGGCGAACGATTCGAAAAAGACGCAATCCCTGATGTGCGTACTCAGTGCCACACATAAAGCAAATTCTCATGAAAAACTGGCATTTAATAGAAACACAACCACTACTGAGCGAACTATACAAAAATCCGCCGCTCGTATCTTACAAAAGAGGGCGGTCGCTCAAAGACATACTCGTGAGGGCTAAACTTTGAATAGGCTACTCTAAACACACGCTTGGGAGTCGTGTAGGCCTGTCAACCCCATTTTACGCCACCATCTTCCTCTTCGCTACTGGAGACAACTTCGCTTCGTTCAGAAGAAGATTCACTTGACAAAACTTCAATATCTGCCATCTCCTTCGCCCACGAATACAAACAAACAGTGAGTGAAATAAACCACGCTATCGGAGTGAACACAACCAGTGACGTCATCAATCCATTTCGCTCGGTACCAGGGCCCGGACATGGTTTTGTGTAAAATTTTTGATTTGAACGGTTAAAAAAGATATCTTTCGCTTCTTTTTGGCCAAAGCAAATTATCTCATGATGATCAGCATATTCAAAACTACAGGTCAGAGCAACTATTTCTGATACGAAAATTTCGTTTCAGTAGCACTTTAAATATTGGCTCCTGATTACGAGTAGTGTTGCTTTATTTGCTCAATGAAGGGGGGGATCGTCCCCCTTGTAAAACTTTACAGCTAGTACTTTTGGGTCAACTAGACTAGAGAAGTCTCTGGCAAGCAGTGCCAATAGACTGGAGGTTACAAGGAGAATCCTTCCATCGGCCATGGTCGGACGGTTCCGAAGACGGACCGTACATGTGGCCACACGGCTCGTTAGCATTTCCATTCGGCTCACCCGTGTTCCAGTTTTTGTAAACTGGAACTGAGTGGTCATACCAGTAGAATCCGTTAGCTGTCGAGTTCCACTTCAGCCCAATCCAAACATACCGCAGAGATGTAGCTTGTCTCTTTACGAGGTCCCAGACGAAGTCGTTTTCTTCGGCGCTGTTGATCTTCACCAGTTCCCCTTTGAGACGGCGGCAGAACGTTTGAGCTTGGAGCCAGGTCTTGGAGTCAGAGTCATCAATCAAGTAACAGTTATTATTGAACAAAATCCATCCTGTTGGACAGACTAAAAACGAGTCGAATGTTAGATAAAAATCAACATGTCAGTCAGGGTAACGTCTTCTACGTGACCACTGGGAAATGTCGCAACATTTCTGAAGAATTAAGAGTTCCCCGTCTACTCACCGGCCAAAGAACCAATCATGGACCGCAAGCTTCTTAAATGTCAACATGCGAAACAAACATTGTTAGCTTAAAAGATGTATTGAAACTCTGTAAATCGATGTGTTTTTTTTGTAATGGATTCTAGGGCTTCCAGCGACGCATAAATCCATAGGCCTTCTACGACTGAAAAAGAGATCAACAGAAATGAAAACACGGAGGGGAAAAATTGCGAAATGGCGACATATTCAAAAGTTGACGCATGCTCAGATATCTATCTTGGCGAAGTGTTATTTTATGACGTTATGTTTTGGGAATAAGAAGAGGGGATCTTTCGAGTGACACTGCGCTTGCTTCGGTAAAATTTTTTGAAAATTGGCTCAATAATAACCATATACAGTCTCTTTCAAATGGTCTATTCATATAAAATCTCCCGTTCCAAGGAGAGGTATTTAGCGTGGAATTGCGAGTTGAAAACGAGGTTAAAGATATTGCTTCGCATCTTAATAGACATAACTATCGCTCAAGATAAAAATAAACAATGTTATAGCTGTTTTCTGTTTTCTTACTATTATTCAATTATGTGATTCAAGGAAATTTCCATTATCAGACTCGTAAATTCCGCGTTAAATTGCACTTGAAAACCGAGAACGCACTCCTCGCTTCGCGATTCTGCGATATCGGTTTTCGCTTGCAATTTTACGTGTAATTCTCTAGTGGAGTAATGAATTTTCCTATAAAATCTGTCAGCCAATGGGATAAATTTAGAAAACAGCAACTTAGAGAATATCGGCAAAACTGTCTGAACGACTTTGAGTTTTTGCCATTTCGAAAGGTCAGGCAATCATTTCCATCATGAGGAAAACAATAAATATATTCACCGAGGGAGGTAAAGATAAATTATTTAAGTATTAAGGCCAAAAATTGGAAAATATTTGCCCGTTATAATTAGTAGAGATGATGTTACCATGGTAGTGTCATTCATCTAAGAATCGGCAACCAAAATAGAACTCTTTATATCGTTAGCCCAACTTTTAAATCTATTGAGAGAAAACTTTCAGATAAATTAGCTAGGTTTACTTTCGTAGCTCGCGCCCTGAAGTTAGTTTTATTCGTTAATACTCGTGGGAACCGCTCTATTGAAACAAAAAAGGATCGAACTTGAACTTAATTAATAACTGTATTCACCTTTTTCGCACTGTTTCCCCTTGTAACCTGAATGACATTGACCGCTCTTTGTTTTTCCACTGCGCTGGAGGGAGATG